TGATTTGTGGTTTCTGTCATATTTTAAGTTAAAGTCGGTAATCAAGAAGGAAGACTCACTAAAACCCACATAAAGTTTGTACATATTAGTGGACTATGTCTAAATGCCATCGCCACACGTATATCGGTGATTTACAATATAATGATAATATAATATAATATCATTATATTGTAAATCACCGACGGATATACATGTGGCGATGGCGTTTAGACGTTGTCCATTAATTTGTACAAACTTTATGTGGGTTTTAGTGAGTCTTCCTTCTTGATTACTGACTAACTTAAAATTTGAACAACAAATATTGTGTATGTCAAATTTTAAAATACCAATGTAATCTTTATATATTTATATCTAGCTGAAGATGGATCAAAAAATGGTCCGAAACGTATTCTAATACACATTTATTGCTAAAATTTAAAAATAATGTTCGCGCACCAATATCCGCGCATTGGCTCTTATTTGCCAGTTTCCATTTAATTTCTTACATCATTTTTCTCATAGAGAAAAATGTTTCTTTAGATTTAATAAATTTTGTTGAAGTCAAAGAAATTTAATTATTGGAATAATCCAAACTAATGTTTAAACTAATAAATACGATTGTTTGACTTTCAAAAACGGATATATGTGTTTACTTTAAATAAAATATTTTTAAAAAAAATTCATTTTTTTTCTTTAACTTAAACGATTATATTATTCTTTCAAAGAATTTTATTGTTTTCTTTAAATAATATTCTTGGTTTATTTATAAAATTTATCATGTTGCTTTAAACTATGTAAACAAAGTCTAGAATAAGTTAGATAAAGATAGATTGCTTGTTAAACAGACTGCAACTTTTTAATCAAGTCTTTACGGCCTCTTAGAGCCATAGCATATAGAAAAACTTAACTTCACTTCGGACAATTTCGGTCCGAATAAGTAAAGATCGGATATTTATCTGTCCGATTTTCCAAAAATCAGTTCAATATCTGAATTCTCCTGTATGAAAGTCGTATCAGAAATTTAACTGATAGAAATAGTTGTTACAATGTCATTAATCGCATTTTACAAACTGTATAAACGTTCATGACAAAAACTGGAATACGAGTATAGATAATGAATAGTGTAATAACGGTAAGCATATAACGGTAAGCAAATGATATATTATTTGAAATAATAATTAATTTTGTAATATATTTCTTTCTTATAATTTATAACTTCAGAATAATACAAAAAGAAACAATAACACAAAATCTTGATTGTTATAACGTTATTCTAAAAATAGCATTTGTAATAAATTATGAAATTATTGCAGCTTTGTTGAACTTACTACAAATAAATATGTTAAAATAACATTGAAAAAATATTTGAAATAATGTTTTGAAAACATTTTTATGATACTCAAAAATACCATATTATAAAATAATGTGTTTAAGATATTTATAAAACATTATATTAGAATGTTACGAAAATTTATATAAAATTAATATTTCAAGATATTGTTAAGTATTTAATGTTTCTTGCTTACTGAATATATATACACTACCGCTCAAAAGTATTTGCCCACAATCAGTTTCGTGGATAATTTTTATATAAAAGCCTTAGCTGGCACTTTACCTATATTTTCTTTATGTACACATGCATCGTCGTTGTAAAAGGCTTTTTTTTGAAATAATATTTTGATTATCACTAATATACAGGGTGTCCGGTAAAGATTGTGCCAACGCTCGTAAGCGGCTAGAGCACAGTAAACTGAACAGAAAAGTCCTGTAACATTTTTTCATATAACGCTTAATAAAAGAGTTATTGTTGAGTAAAATCTGGTCAATTAGCGCCGATTTTTAGCCGGACGCACGTCGGTGAGCCGCCCGCCTGATAGTAAAATTAACATTCCGCTTTTCATTTTCGTTTTGTAACGCTATAATCAAAAACAAAGGCGGACACATAGATGAAAGAAAAATTTAGTTTTAAGCATTACTGTGCACACACCTTTTTGGTAATTAGATACGTAAACATAAATAAATACTTTTCATATGATTACTACATTGTTTTAATTTTTTGTAACATTTATAGAACGATTGTTTTAGATGGGCAAATACTTTTGAGCGACAGTGTATATATACAGGGTGTCCCACCAAAAGTGGCCACCCCCTTTTATCTTTTTAACTAAAAGAGATAGACCATAACAAATATATATCAAATTAAACAGTTCAAACTGAACTCTATTGTGAGCATAATGGTTGCTTCCAAAAGCTATATGTGTTAACGAATGAAAAGGTATGCATAATCTTTTTATAATAATGTGAATTTTTCGATATGAAAAAAGTAGTAGCGCTGTTTGAAACGAATACAACGATGTATGATATAATGTAAATATTTTACATATTATACGAGTTTTATCAACTTGAAATATTGCGGGCAACGTCTACCTTTTCATTTTCGGCCCTGCGATATGACCAACTTCGGATTGAATATTATGATCAAATGACAACATGAGATATGTCAATCTCTAATGCACGAGTCAGAAGTTGGCCACAACGCAGGGCAGAAAGTGAAAAAGTAGATGTCGCCCGCAATAGTTCAAGTCAATAAAACTCGTATAATATGTAAAATATTTATATTATATCATACATTGTTGTATTCGTTTCAAACATCGCTACAACTTTTATCATATCGAAATATTCACATTATTATAAAAAAATTATGCTTATCTTTCCGTTCGTTAACACAGATAATTTTTGGAAGCAACCACTATGCTCACAATAGAGTTCAGTTTGAACCATTTAATTTAATATATATTTATTATGGTCTGCAAATTATTTCATATTTCGTTTAAAGATGTTGTATTAAAAAAAGAATGATATAATGACTAAAAACTTATTCTTAAAAAAGAAAAATATAAAAGCGCCAAATACACGCGCCAGTTATGAAAAACGTAGATTATTGTAAAAAACTGTTTTACGAAATAATGTTATTTTGATCTGTAAAAAACAGTTATTTTAGTTTAGAAAAATTGTTATATTAAAAGTAAATTGTGTGCAAAATAGTTGTTTTAATTTTCTACAAACATAATGATATAAAAATTGCGCCAACTAAGAATAAAATCTTATTAAAAGTTAGTTTATATTTTTAAGTAGAAACAGTTTAACAAAAAACCTGTAGTTTAAAATAGGTATCTTAATTTCCTAAAAAAATAACAATATTAAAATTTAAAAATGCATTCAAATCTTAAACATTAAAAATTAACACAAAATAAAAAAAACAAAAGTTTTAATTAAAGAAACTTGGCGCTGCCAAGCTGAATAATATTGCTAATGAAATTGCAAAATATTGCTAATGAAACAGCTACATATTTTTTCTTAAAAACAATTATTTGTTTTCTTTGCATCAATTGATTCTCTCATTATTTTGTGCATAAAGGTAAGATAATCGAAAAGTAAATATTTTTTGAGATATTTCATAATTTATGTAAAATTATGTCATATTAAAGTATATAAAGTTCTCTCGTAAACTATTCAATTTTTAAAAATAAATTTATGACTGTATTTTTTGCGCATTATATTATTTCTCTTTTTCTTTCTGTCCTCCATACAATATTTAATGAAAAATTAAAATTGTTTATAAAATATTGAGTTATATATACAACTTGAAAATTTGATAACTGTTGAGAACTCTCCGTCTCAAGGCGATTTATCCATTCGCCTCTGTTTAAAAACCTTACTGCTTATATGTTCGCACTGCTTATATGTGCAATGATTCTTAAAATATTCTTGAATGTAATCGATTTGTAGTAAAGAAGAGTTTCTCATTTATTCTCATATATTGTGTGTGCATGTACGTATATACACATATATATAATATAATTAAGAATCGTTTTAATCAAGTAATAGACTATAAATATATAATATTATCTCTTATAACGTTTCTGGAAAGTTGCTGTAACATTTCTCATGAAATATTACGATTACGTATTCCTACAATGTGTCTATAATATTACTATCTTGCAACTTGCAAGATTGCAACATTGCTGCAATATAATTGAAAAGTTCTGTGTTGTATGAGATTTAGTAGAAATAACGAATAATATTATTAACATTATGCGTGTGCTAGAAAGGAAACAATTGAATCAATCACTAATAATTATTACTAAAATACGAATATGATAAAATAAATCTATAATGCATATCATAAATGTATAACATGTTCTGGATATTCATCTAAAGAAAAAATAATTGTGCTCTATTAAATATTTATACATTCTAATTATGGTTATTGACGCGCTTTTATTATGAAAAATGTTAAGAATCACAAGAGAAAGAGAGAGAGAGAGAGAGAGAGTGAGTGAGTGAATGAGTGAGTGAGTGAGTGAGTGAGTGAGTGAGCGAGTGAGTGAGGGAGCGAGTGAGTGAGCGAGCGAGTGAGCGAGCGAGCGAGTGAGCGAGTGAGTGAGTGAGTGAGTGAGTGAGGGAGGGAGGGAGGGAGGGAGTGAGTGAGGGAGGGAGTGAGGGAGTGAGTGAGTGAGAAGGAGAAGAGAAAGGAAGGGAGAATGGAGGGTGGCAAAAAGAAAGATATATGGAAAGAGAGAAAGAGGGAGAGAAAGACATCAGTTCGATACGCAAGAGAAACTAATAAATCATACTCTTGTAATTCGAAAAACCATGATTTTGAAGTAATTTGTAAAATGTCAAAAAATAGATGTTTTGCAACAATCCACAATGAAAAAACGCTATCCTGCGGAGATATTGCTATTATTATTTTACTGTTTTGTGTATGATGCTTTTGGTTTTTTATTCGCATTTCATCTGATAATGAAACTCATTATCTTATGGAGTACGAATAAATGGCGAATTAGGATTTTTCGATTAATAAATATTCAAGAGCAAAATATCTGTCATTACGTATTTCTTTTCTGCTGGATCAGAAAAAAGGGAACATTTTGTCAACTTATTGTTGACCATAATTCTTGCATGACAAGGAAGCAAAAGAGGGAACAAAGAATATCATATTATATTTTTCGACTCACCTCTTCAGCAAATTCAAAATCTCCATCAAATTTTCTTTTGCATTTCACTCCTATGATTAAAACCAGGAGTATCGTGGCTGTGAATATCCACGAAAATCGCATAGCTCCTACCATCGTTCTTCTTTTTTTTTTTTTTTATTCTTGAATGGTCACTTATTGCACCGGAAAACGCGCGCGCGCGCGAGATCAACACACCCGATTATACCACGCACGTAAGGAAAAAAAAAGAGAATACCGCGAGACGATTGTATCTGTATGTGGATGCAGCCGATGACAACGCGCACGCAAAACTTAAACTTGCCGTATATACGCCACACTCGACCTGAAATGAAAACACGCAGTTCGATAGCCGAACAAGTTGTGACTATGCGAAGTGAGGCGACACCACTGCTGCCGTTGCACTATTACTGGCGCGCGCACATTTATTGGTCGGATTCCAACAAACGATGCGTTCAGAACAGTGCTTGGGAAGCAAGAGAAGGGGACCGATAGCGCGTGCTAGGTATAGACCGAAGAGCCGCCATCTCACTGGCTGCTCGGATGTTTCCGCTGTTCACTGTATATCTGTTCGGCTGTCTTCGGCATGGTGGCGAGCAGGATTAGCGAGCGGGTGGTACACTGCACCAGTCAATACCTCTAGCTGCTTAGTTCACCTACCTATCTACCTGATGTAGCCCATCGCTTGACAGATAAAAAGAGAAAAAAGACTTGTACATACAGAATTAATTGGAGAAAAACACAAAAAAAATATCTAGATCCATTTCGAGAATTTCGTAACTAATCTTTCCATTCTTTTTATTTTTGTTACAATTATCGCATCGCTATCATAATTATTTTATGGATTTATATATACTTTTCTGAAATATAATATTAGATTATATTAGATAATATTAGATTACGTTCTGATATTTAGGGCCATTTCGACCAAACTCCGGTTAATTTAATAGTTGATTAATTTACAGGGAGACCAAAAGCAGAATTTTAAAATTTGTATTATATTATATACGAGAATTATATCGTTAGAAATTTTTATATTGGTCACTCTGTAAATTAATCAACGATTAAATTAATCAGAATTTGGTCAAAGTGGTCCTTATTAATTAATATGAAATATCAAGTCTGAGATATAGTTAATCATTATTTCAGATATTACAATAAATTCATTACAATATTTCAATCTCTTACAATATTGAAAAACATTGAACCGTTTTAGATATTCAACGGCCCGGATTTTGATAAGGTTCGGATATGTTCTAGCACATAGAAGATATAAAAAAAAACATGTATTTTTTTATAAGTGTGAATAACATCGAAACGGTTTCTGCGATGTCACAGAGTTAACTATGAAAACAGATATGACAGTACATAATTTTATATGAAGGCAGCAAAATATTTTTAAACATTAAAAATAAAGCCGAATATCCTCAACAAAAGCTACGCGAACATTCTTCATGAAATATTATAAGTTCATAAGTAGAATGCGCAACGAATAAATAATAGCATCTACATTTAAATCTATGCGGCAAAACTGAAGAAAAATAAGAAGTATATACAAATATATAAAAAATATTTTTCAAAAATGCATTAACTAAAAATAAAAAATTGCACACAATGTAAAATCAAATTTTTTTACATTATCATGTTTCGATATCCAATAAAGTGCAATTATTATATGTTATGCTTGAGTATATTTATACATATGTATTTTAATGATTGATTGTTTTAATGTAATTGTAGAAGCTATAAAATGTATTTGTAAAATGTACATTTTACAAATACATTATACAGGGTGACCCACGTAAAGTGTTACAAGCTAATAACTCTAAAAATATTTGTCAAATCAAAAAATTGTTCATGAGAAAGTTTCATGTTTTCGAGGGGCCTTTCTAACTACGTAAACATAAAATTGCCCCCGCTCCCCCTGTAAAAAGGGCGGGGGTAACTTTAAAATTTTAAAACGCGAAATCTCAGCCTTGCCATTCGTAAAATATAATCGCTTCCTGTTTAAAAACTGTTATATCCTCGACATTTTTGTATTAAAATTTTCGTTTTAAAATGTTCTAAGGAATCCACCATTAAGAGGAAGTACGGTAGTTTTAGGACACCCTGTATATACAGGGTGTCTCAAAGCACCTTTGACAACGCATGTAGAGCACAGTAAACTGAACAGAAAAGTCCTGTACCATTTTTTCCTATAACGCTTAATAAAGGAGTTATTATTGAGTAAAGTCTGGTCAATCAGCGCTGACTTTTAGCCGGACGCACGTCAGTGAGCCGCCCGCCGTAAAGTGTGCGCCGCCGCATACTACCAGGCGCGCGGCTCACCGACGTGCGCCTGGCTAAAGGTTGTCTTCATTCTGTTGAAAAATAAAACAAGCCATAACTTGAAAACACGGTCATATCGGACATATATTTATATGAATTTTTTCTCTTATTTTTGTGTCCTGAATCTCTCATTGCAATACTTCCCACTTTTTAGGATACACCCTGTATAGCAAGTTGCATGAGCGATACGACGATGTAGTGGGGGCTTTTTAGGCGTTCTGAAGGTCCAGACTTGCGCGAAACGGACGAGTTTTCGTCCGACCCGATATTATTCTCTCTTTGGATAGAGTATAGAAATTTCTCTTACCTACCAATCATGAGTACATTTTCCAATAAAGAATATGCCAATGGCTAAATCGACCGAAAAGCGTTACTCACGTGTTGCGATAGTTCTCTAATATATGGGAACGTAATGAATTTTCTATTGTTTTTATCATTGTTAAATGTTCCATCTTATTATGACTCGTGGCAAAAAATAATAATGACAATAATACGTATATGACCACGGAAAAAAATCCGATTAGGAAAATAGAATCCGATCTCAGGGATTTTTTAAAAAAATACTAATAAGGATTATATAACAAAACAGAAATACTATACATTAAATTCCAGTGATGCGTTATTACCAAAAGCATATGACATTCGCAAAATCCATAAACAGAGATATCCGTTATGTATTATTGTTTCTTCCGTTAATAGTCCTTTGTATTCTATCGTAAATTTCATATATAAAATTTTAATAAATAGCTTACCCCCAGCATTTTAATGTGACATAATTTTATATAAACACTATGAAATATTTCATAAGATATTGACTTTTCGATTATCTTATATTCCGATTTTTTGCTTCAAATAGACAGTAAATAAGCAATTTCCCATTTATCTAATTTTAAACAATTCGTTTAATATTCGGAATCCTTTGTTAAGACGTTAACAAAAATTAAACTGATAGAAAATAATATTATACTTTGAATCCTATGTTAGTATTCACTCAACATGCTCCATGTAGCATGTTCTCTTTATAGGCTTTATACTATGATGCATTCGTAGCTGCATTCGCAGCAAGAAACTTGACAGTTTTATCTAATTTTGCCGCGTAGTGGCAAGCGAAAAAACACGTATACATATAATACTATTATATTGCAATAATGTTTTATTACAGCATTATTGTAATATAAAATAATATGTATAGTAAATATGTATAGTAAATATACTATACCATAGTATAGTATAGTATATTTACTACCATATTAGTATTACTACCACATTATACTACTGCAACACACAAACACTACTGGATAGAAAGTTATTAAAAATAATAGGTATTTTATTAACTAATTAAAGTACAATATACACAAAAAGAGCCATTTAAATGTTTCCACCTAAATATCTTTTTTCCACTTCTTTTACAAAAAAATATTTTGTACAAAAATTATATGACTTCGAAGGGGAGACATAAGATGGTGCTATTGGATTGATCTTAGATGAAGGATATCAGATTATTTCAAGGTCATCTTCATTTTTTTAAATGATCTCACTCTAATTTGTTTACATAAATCGATTCCTCGCAATAATATTCGGCGTAAGAAGTTATAAGAGTAGTATGGGCAAAAATTTAATAGTTTATGGGATATTTTATACTTTAATGACATAATTTTACATAAACTCTAAAGATATAAAAATATCTCATAAAATATTTTTATTATAGAATACTTTTCGGTTATCTTATCTCAATACTTTTATGCACAAAATAATGAAAGGTATTAATTGGTATAAGGAAAACACATCTCTTGCATGACTTTCAGAAGATATCTCATCATTTAATTTCACTCTCCATACTTGACAGATATAATAGTCGTTTTTAAGAAAAATATAAATTTGCAACGAGCAGCTACACATTTTTAAACAACTATGTGTTTTCTTTGCCAACTGATTTCTCTCATTATTTTGTACTTAAAAGTATTGAGGTAAGATAATCGAAAAGTCAATATCTTATGAAATATTTCATAGTGTCTATATAAAATTATGTCACATTAAAATGCTGGGGGTAAGCTATCTATTAAAATTTTATATATGAAATTTACGATAGAATACAAAGGACTATTAACGGAAGAAACAATAATACATAACGGATATCTCTGTTTATGGATTTTGCGAATGTCATATGCTTTTGGTAATAACGCATCACTGGAATTTAATGTATAGTATTTCTATCGCAATTGTGATAATTGCGAGGCGTCATATGTGGGACAGACTAAGAGACAATTACACACGAGGATAGCGGAACATAGAAATCATATTCGTAGAAATACGACAAATCACTCTATTATAACCGATTATAATGTCAATTTAATCCAATTTATTGTTAGCAGATAATGTATCCATGCGATTCACACACACAAATATTTATAATTTATATATGTTTAATTTAACCGTGGCTGAAGAAATACAAATCAGTGTAGAAACGTTCCACATTAAACAACTCTTAAATTTAAGTATTCATAATGAAAAAAGTTATTATTAATAGCTACGCATTTAATTAACTGATTGAAATACAATATAATACATGAAAATTATTGTATAGCACAGCACTTTATACATATAGGGTGGATGTCCCAATTACTGCCACTTTAAGCTTATAGCCAAACTTCATTTAACCGTTTTGGGTATTGCTGAAGCTAAAAAATGCTTCACTTTGAATCATAATGTTACTTAATATATCTATTATTATAAAAAAAATTATTATGCATTACATATAAATACTCAAATCAATAATAAATAAAAATCTATAGAAATCTGCGATGTGCCTATGACTGTCATTAAAAAAAAATGTTGTCCGTATGTCTGACACCCGATAATTGCCAGTCCCTTTGACTGTGACCAGATCACTGCCAGTGTCTTGCTGCGCCCGAAAAGAGATTAAAGTAGTCTGTTGGTGAGTGTCAGTTATGCGTACTTGTGACGTGTTTCTTCCCGAATACTGACGGCAATCCGACGGACAAACCAGAAAATATTGTCCCTATTGCTGTCAGCGTTAATTATAATAATTTAACATAAAATATCACTTATTTCACACATTCAGAATCATTAAAATGATTCTTATATAGCTCATTAATCCTTTTTACATAATCAATGTAGGTTATATAATAAAATTATTGCTCTTTCTTTAATACGACTTTTGCATCGCCTTTTATTTACGTAGTCGCACTTTTGATACTCAAATTTAATATTCAGTTTTTAACATTAATTTTTAGATACTAAGTAAAAACAAATACGTGTCATTTTCTTGTTTTTATATAAATTAAAGTATTGATTTAATAATAAAATTTTCTTTGGACATCTTTGTTTACAAATTTATTTTCTATCAAGTAAAATATATAAAACGGCAGTTATAGAGACATTGGCAGTAATTGGGACATCTACCCTACATGTACACATATATACACATATATATAGATACCCAGTAAGCAATTTGATAGCAAATTGTTGCCAAATTGGTATCAAATTTGCTCAGAAATTGCTAACAAATCCGATGCCATTTGTGTCCGCATTAAGCTTGTGTTTTACTGGCAAAGCTTGCTGACATAACCTGGCCGCAAATTGACAGCAAAAACCGAGCAAAACTTGCTGACATGACTTGATGTCAAATTGGCAGCAGAAATCAAGCAAAATCAGCGCAGGGCAATCTGACGCCAAATTGGCAGCAAAAACTGAACAAAATCTGCAGCTTTTGGCCATTTATATAAAATGGTATATTTAAATGGATTTAAAGTCTCAATCCTAAGTAACAAAATGATGATAAATTTTGGTCACAAAATGACTAATTAAACATTCTAAGTTAGCTCTCATGAGACCCGAAAATATCACATCCACGGGAGATCATTTTCTGATGTTCTTTTGACGACAAAAATAAGACCAATTACAGTATTAATATATATGATAATAATATATATTAATGTAAAAACAGAACTTGAAACTTGAAACCAAAGCCCTTGAATCGTTAAAGTTCACTCCTCCTTTTTATGTGAGATACGTCGATGACATAGCTATGGCAGTTCCATCTTCCTTTCTTAACCACACCCTAAATAATTTTAACACTTTCCACCAGCGATTGCAATTTATTATGGAAATAGGAGAGGGAAATAGATTAAACTTTCCAGACATCACAATGATTTTAAGCGATAATCACCTCGTTTTCAATTGGTATCATAAACCTACATTTTCTGATAGATACTTGCATTTTATGTCTAATCACCCTCTTAGCCAAAAAAGAGGCACTATCATCGGTCTCATCGACAAAGTATCCTTAAATTTAAGTTCAATAAGATCCATTCTTCTAATAAT